TACTCCTGCCTTGGCTATCAGTGTTGGCCCGGCTCAGCCACAGCGTGTGTTCTCACTGTAGCAGGGTCAATCCTGCCCTGCTCCACCTTGGGCACTGTGACAAGGGCATTGACCTTCACTCACCCCACTGACCATGTCACCCTCACACACCGCCCTGCTCACCTGCCATATCCCTGCACATGGCCCTGCCTGGTTCCCACTCTCCTGGCCACTGCAATGTGCCGGCACCATCTTGTTCGGGATCCAACGGAGCCTACCACCTGCTTTTTGAGTGCTCAAGTAAGTCACTTTAAGCTTTCTCATGTGTTTCCAACTTGGCTGTGCCACGAGGATTACGATTTATGGCAGTGTGAGGCAGCTGGGGTGCTGTGGGTCCTGGCTCCGTCAGGCACGGCTGGATCCCGGTGTCTGGAGCTGGGGCTTCCCCCAACCCAAACCCATAGGATGTGAATTCCTTGGGCCATTCGGATCACCCAGAGCTTCCCCACAGACTCCAGGAAAGCAGGATTGGACACAGGGTGGGAATCACCTGCCCCAGGTGCAATTTGCTCCATTGGTGCGGTGCAAACTGAGGGAGAAGATCATGGCACTTAATTTTATTTATGGGGTCAAGTATCTGCTAATAGCAGAGAGGTTTAATCTCAGGATACAAAAACACTCCAGAAGCAAATGCCCCAGTGCATTTCAATGCACACACAGCGTGATTAAGGCCCAGACTGTCATTTACCACCTGAAAGCTGGATAAAGCACAGGGAAAAATATCTGTGGCGTGGCTGAATCCTCTTTTTCATGCCCAACAGGAAGGTTGGGGCTTTACTGGAGCATCCCATGTGTGATACCTCTGGGAGCTGCTGGAGCCAAACAAGACGGACACAACAAATGCCTTCTGGATATAATCGTTCCCAGGCACAGCAGAAGGGAAGGAAGACTTTTATAAACAATTATCCATGCAAGCTGCAAGAGTAGCATTTGCAGTAGCTCTCCAGGGCCCTGATAATACTCCCCGAGACATGCCGAGATGGATAGGATTTATAAACCGTGGATGGGTATTTCCTACATTGCATCTCTCCTGGCTGTATTATCCCATGAAGCTCTCTGCAGAAGACATATATGTTCATGAAAACATTTTATAGCCCTGTTGTGCTGGGATTAATATCAGATACGAAAGTCCAGACCACGTGTACTTTGTTCTTCCTAACACATTTCCAAGTCTGCAAATAGAAAAGAGTCCAAAGGAGCAGATGACTATTAACTAATATTCTTGCAATGTCGTGCAATTTTGGCATTCCATATGCAGTTTTCATAATAATTTACAGGCATGCATTTCTTCAAAAGCAGACAGTGATAAAACATTGTGTAAAGCCCTTTGGATGCCCCTCTCCTCACCCCTGGAATCTCCCTGAACTGTCCATTCTCACTCTCCTCATTTTTCAGGTCTGACCAGCACAACACAGAGTTGGGAACTTGCTGGACAGCTCAGCCTTGTCACTGGAGGGAACTGGAGGAGATGTGGCATTCACGGCAGGTTAGAAACCCACCTGCCCTTGTGGGCCCAGGCTGTGGGGAGAGAGGTGCCAACACAAGATACCAGCCCCAGCTGCAACTACTGGCACCAAGAGTCCAAATCATTTTTGAGGCAACCACTCTGTCATAACAGCCTGTTTTGTGGAAAATGCCAGGATTTATTTAATGAATAACATATATGAACCACCCAAGGTAGGGGGATTCGAGCTAGATGATTTTTAGAGTCCCTTCCCACTCAAACCTTTCTAAAACTGTGGAGTCAGAAGTTTTCTTAACAGAAAAAAGTCACTGAATCAGCTCATATGGACCCAGCTGGATTTACACCAATATGGGAACAAGCAGGGCCATCTCCAGAAATCCAATTCTCTTTCTGAGAGAAACAGAATGAGAGAATGTTGCTGTCTGGAAATATTGTCCATACACACACACACAGAACTTCACGTGGAGCAAGCTTCAGGATGGGTTTAGCACAGGGAACACCATTCTCCCTTCAATGTGGCCATGAAATCTCACACACCTTGAACATCTCCCATCACCTCCTGTGTGCCCAGAATATTCCACAGTCACCAGTGTGCTCGGAGCCTTTCTGTCTGCCCATGGGAACCTATGGTACCTCCAGGGCATTGGTATTTGAGGCATCAAATACCAAATAGGATGCAGGAGCTGCTCCTGTGCTGCCTGCAGCCCCTTCCCCAGGCAGGAGTGGTCAGATGGGCACCATGCAGGGACCCTCATGCAAGGAGAACTGAACATGTTGTGCTGAAGAAGTTTTGTTTTACATTAGGCTTATAATTTTAGGGCTAATGTTTGGTTTGGAAGCTCAAAGCCATGCCCGAGCCCACAGCTGCCAGCTCTGGAGCAGGCAGTGGTGTAATAGCCATTTAATTCCCCTGAACTGTAATCTGATGGTGGGATATGCTCCCAGGCTGCTTTTAGGTCTGACTGGGGAACAAAATCAATCACAGAACACCCGTTACAACGAAAGCGCTGTTGGTGTCAATTACCTAAACTCTGCGAACGTAACTCTTCTAATTTCCTGTTAAATCAGTAATGTTACCAATCTCAGTCTATTATTTTAATTAGGACTGTGACTGCAGTTGCTAGGAGCCGAGTGAGCGCAGACAAATGCGAATGTGTAATTAGTGCCACAAACGAGTGGCAAGTTGAATGTGTCACCATCCTGGATAGCTCCAGCATGGGGTGCAGCGGGAGGCCGGGCGATTTGGGCCAGATCCTGATCTCACTGCCCTCAGCGCCAGCCCAGCAGGCTCCACAGAGCTCACCAATGCTCTGACATCAGCTGGGCTCAGGGAATCCAGGTCTGGCCCCTGGTCATTGCAGCTTCTTGGAGCTTCACCCTGGGTTATTTTTAAAATGTCTGATGTCCCACCTTCTTTGATTGACTTTTTTTTTTTTCCTTCTTGCTGTAACGCCTCCTCAGAGCCAATTATCCTGCAGTGAACACTGCAGTCAGGTTAGCTGAACGTGGGTGTTCCCAGCGCCAGCCGGCATCGGATTCCAGCCCTCCCAGGGGACCGGAGCTCCTAGGGTGGGTATGGAAGTGCTTGGCTCCCTCCTCTCCCTTCCTAGCTGTGAAAGAAACCTCTCAGCTTCTGTCACATCTGACTGCCTCACGCTTCCCCAAAACAGCCGCGCTCTGACGAGGGAGACAGGCGTTCCGACAGCAGAGCAGCGCTAGCTACCAACCTCACCAGAAAACACAAGCTGAGGACAGAACCCCTGGCTAAATATAGAGCCCAGCTGGGAGAGAAAACAATGTGGCATTGCAGATCCATCAAAATTAAGAATGAAAACGTGAAGGTGCTGCTCACTGCCGACCCCCGGCTGCTCCCGGCGAGCGCCGCGTGCCCAGAGGTGCAGCCCGCCGCCCGGATCCAGCATGGAATGGCACAGGAGGGACAGCACTGCTTTTATTAGCACTTGGCCATCAGTCAGCAGTCCACACTCCACAAATAAATGAACGGGCTGGGTGCATGTCATCCCAGTTCACGTGTTACAGAAATAACGCTGGACTGGAACCAGAGTTAACACAGCTGAGATTTGGGATGTGGCTGATTTGGAGAGGGCAGATGGCAGGGCCTTGTTGGGCTGTACCTGCTCTTGGAGGCAGACCTGATTTACAGCTCCATCCATCTTCTACACTCTAATTTCCCTGCTTTAGTAGGTCAGCCTCCTGCTTCATATGGTACTTCTTTCAGAACAAATAGACTAGGAGGAAGTCAAGGGTTTGGTGTATATTGGATGGACTGATTTGGTCACCTTTCCAAGACAAAACCAGTAGAGAAATAGTATGAAAAAAGTGAGTGAACCCAGAAGGTGTTTTGTGAAGATTACTCCCAGAGGACCTGTGAACCAGGCAGTGATGCTATGCCAACATGAGCCCTGCAATGCCTTCAGTCCTGGTTCCTCATCTGGGTCTGGCTGTGGCTTCATGCTCATGGCTTGTGTTGGATTGGATTTTTCCTCCTGTCTCGTGACATTCAAACAGAGGTCAGGCCCTGTTACTTGCTGCATTAAGCTTTGAGCCCAGTTCCCCAGTGATGGAGCCTCTGCCACCAAGAGCTGCAGGAGCTGCTGTGATCTTTCAGAAAGTGCCTGACCTGCCCTTGTTTTCCTACTTACTTTCCTTTACTCCTCCAGGAAACAGCTTTAACCAAAGCCACATTGCAAGTGTGTTTTATAACAACAATGTACTGTTACTGTCACCGGTGGGTTTTCAGGCCATGTCCCAACATGTGTCCTTGCTGCAGCAATGCCAGTATCCCTCCTGGGACAGAGCCAAGCCTCACCAGTCCTAAAGGTTGGGTGCCTGCTCCATCCCTGAGAGAGCCCTGGGCAGGGTGGCTGTCACCTCTGAGTTGTTGCAGGTCAGTACACTCATCTGAAGAGCCCACGGGCTGGCAGAGGTCCCCACTGCCTCCACACCCTTTGAGATGCTTGTTCTGTGCAGGAAACAGGGAGAATTGCTGTCCTCAGGCCCTTGTGTCCTGAAGGAGCCACAGCTGGTGGGATGCTGCAGCACCCCTGGTGCTCTGTGGATCCTCACTCCATCTTTCTGCAGGAAGGGAGGTGTAAATCACCTGTACCACCCCAGCTGCAGGCTGGCCAGGCAGGTTCCTCATGCCACCAAGCAGCCCTTCGAGGTGAACCCCTTGATTAAAGCCTGTGTGATGTCACAGATGTGCACAGATACCCTTAGCCCTAGGACTGTGCAACTGGCTGGTAATGTGCATGTTAATAAGGCTATTAAGGTTTACAAATATTCTGCTCTTCCTTACAGTTTATAATTTAATTAATTGCCAGTTAATTGTCTTATTTTCCCCCTGTGATTGATGTCAGTGAGTGGGATTAGGCAGCATCAGATGACAGAGGAAGGAGGAATGAATGCAGCTTCCTATGATGGTGTGAGAGGAGATGTTTTTATGGACAAATCCTTTCTGACATGGATGAATACCTCAATGAGATATCACAGAGTATCAGCTCAATACATATTGTAATGGGATCATTAGTGGAGGTACCAGCTGTGTGAGGTTTGTATTCACAAGCCACGAGTAAGTAACGGGGAAATATTGGCTCCTTGGAAATGTTTGCCAAGCATAAATCTTCCCTGTTTTTACTGAGCTGGTGCTCAGTTTACATAAACTGGGAAATAATTCTCTAAGGCTTGTGGGACTGCTCCAGCTACCCCTGAATTTGGTCACGGCAGGGCAGCTTTGGTGAAAGAAGGGAATCTAAATGCAGGCCTGCTGGGCAATATTTTTCCATGGGGAAAAATTAAAGAGGAGGGTTTGAGGAGGGTGTATAAGCCAGGCTGTGGCTCTGTCCCTAAAACAAAAAGCATCTTTATTTCTAAGCAGGGAAGGGGGGATGGCTGAGCAGACACTGCATCTTCTCTCCAGGATTTTGAGTCTCTCACCAGGCTTGTTCACACCCTGCCCACCCCCGAATGCCTGTTTGATGGACAGGTCTGTGCATCACAGACGGGCTGGGAATATCATTCCTTCAGGATCCCCCAGGGCCTGCAGAACGGGCAATGTGCAGCCACTAGGGCCAAGTGGGTCACTCAGCTCAGGGTGATTCTCGACCTGGAGGGGGCACAGAAGGAACTTCAGGGCTTTTGCCTTCCCTGAATCCTTCTGGGTGACCAAAGGCAGCCAGCTCTAGGGGGGAACGGCATTCCTGTAGCTCCCAAGTGCCAAGCAAGGGATCTGGGGAAAACAAACACTCAGGTGACTTTTGACCAGACTTTGATCGCATTTCAGCAGAATAAACCTGGAGTGATTCCAGTGGCTTTGGTGTGAGTGGGATCAGACTGTGAAACTGGGCTGTATGGCAGAAAGCTGGATGTTCCTGCTGGGGTGGGTGTGCAGTGTGGTTGAACCCCTGCTTAAATCGGCACAAACTAACAAGGTCATTTCTGAGGCTGGAATCAGAACACGGAGCCGGCCAAGCCACATCTGTCTCCTTTAATTCATTCCTTCCATTTTGGGGACTTAGCTTTTAGGAACAGCTATCTGTGATTACATAAAAGAGATTAGCCAACAGTTCTGCATAAATCAAGGCCAGTGCAAGATGTGTCCTAAGTGCATTGCGAAACCTGGGGCTGGTGGAGGACAAGTTCCTCTTGGGGAGTGAGGCTCTGAGCATGGGGCCAAGGGCAAAACCTTCCTGCTTCTCAAAATGGCCCTTCAGGCAAAACCCTCTCCAAGCAGAGATGGGCATGGTGGGGCAGGGTCTGCCCTGGGGTTGTTTGGTGTGGATTTTTTCACCAAAGCAGATTTTCTATCCGAGATACACGATGGAAACAATGAAAGAAAGGAAAGGGCTGGAGAACCTTATTGTAAACCAGATCCCCATGTGTGAATGCAAATAAATCTTGCTGCTGAAGGAAAAGCCAAACCAGAATGTGTTACATTTAGTCTTTTAGCACAGTTGCTAAGAAAATATCTTGATTCGAACACTGTTGGATGACTCAACAAATCTTTTTTTTTTTTTGCTTTTTTTTTTTTCCATTTTGAGGCCATTTCATCATTTTCCCCCCTGTTTGTTTGTCTGTTAACATGCAGGGTGAGGTTGTCCCAAGGTCAGGGAGTTGGAATTTCCCTTCCAGTGTTGCCCTACTGCTCCTCTCCTTTTTTTCTTGCTTTTTTTGCTGCAGGTCACAGCAGATCTGTGGTGAGGTTGGTGGGGGAAGGCTCTGCCCTTCTCTCCCTCTCCATCTGCCCTGGATAGTGCCAGTCCCTTGACAGGAGAGCACCTGGCTGGGCATTGTCCTTCCACCTCATCATCAATATGTCTGCATCACAGCTTCCCTCCTGAGCATTTAGGGCAAAATTAGCAAAAGCAGTCTTGAATTTTTGATGTCTTTATTTTTGGGGAACTGAACATGAGACACAGCAGCTGAGTTTCAACAGAGCTGAACACCAGTAGCTCCTGTTACTGGCTGAGCACTCATCGCTGCTTGAAATCAGGCTTGGAGTGTCTTTAATGGTATTTATTGTTTGGAGGAGAATTGTGCATCAAACCTGAGCAAGACCTGGGAGGAATCAAACAAAAGGGGATTTACACTCCCCTGGTAGGAAATTGAAACAATGTGCAATTTAAGATGTGCCACTTAAATGTTTGTTGGCTCCTCATGATGGAACCACCTACCCAAAGGCATTTAGAATTATTTTTTAAAAAGCAGAAAAATGCTTATTTCCTATGGAAATGTTCAGGAAACACATATGCCCTGGAATAGAGCTGAAAATGAATCTGGTTATCTTCCTTCATCCTTTGATCTCTAACATCTTTCAAAATCTGGCCTCCAAGTAATGTGCCCGAGGATGCACAAAATCAAGAGCTGAATCTTTATCTCTTCCACTCCTCTCCACACTGCAGCTCACAACTCAGATCCATTGCTCCTCAGGACTAGCCCTGGCTGAGGCAGCCAACAAGACTAATCCCAGAAATACAGGTCCTGGATGGGAATTCATAAATACCCTGCACAGGGGCTCTCCCTGTTTCCTCCCATCCAGGTTGCAGCTGCATTTGTCCCGTGGTTCTCCCCAGATGTGTGGTGAATTTAAAGATCTATCCCAGTCCTTGACCTACATGGAGGAGCATGGAGCCAGTCATTTCTGAACCAACAGCCACAGAGAGCCTGAGGCCTTTTCATGCTGGAAATAACCATGGGGAGGAAGGAGAGTGCCTGCAGACAGCAACTGCTTCTGTAGTGAAGGGAAGTCTGAAGTTTCCCCTCTGCTTTTTCGTGCATAACAGCATCTGTATGCCTCATTTCCATCTTCACAGCTCCTGTAATTTACATAATGAACATTTGCAAAGCCTGAGATCTGGGTTCACTTTGTACCACATTTACTGTAGATGACCTTCAGCGAATCATCAGAAAAGTTTCCAAAGCAATTTTCCCAAAGGGTGTGAACATGAAACCTAAGATCGTCAGGGAAGGAGGAAAGGATAATGAAAGCAGATTTCTGAGATATCTGTCATTCAAAGATGTGTTTTCTCTTCTACAGCAGAGCAAAAATATTTGAATTCAAAAAGAAGGGAAGTTTTGTCTTTAAAGCAGGTGTTGGTATCAGGTCCCTCAATAAAGTGACTTTAATTAGGTTTGTCTTCCTAGATCTGCAGAAAGACTATTTCCTTGATAAAAATGCATTTGAAAAAATATTAAGCAGAGGGGGGAAAAAACCCTCAGAGAGACAATTTTATTTGCATTCTTTCAAAAGCAATGGCTGTAAAATGAGTTTATCCACTTTGGCCCCCTGATCAGGTAATGAATCTGAAAAAAAAGTCTGGTGACAAATAACTGGCAATCCAGCAGAGATTCAGGACTGAGGAGGAATTCTGACCTCAAAGGATAGGAATAGGACATCAGGGTGAGAACAAGCAGCTGAAGGCACTTATGGCTCCTCTGGAGGTGTCAGCTGCAGCTCTGATTGCACCTCCTGATAGTGCTCCAGCAATCACAAAGTGATAAAACAGGAACTGACCCATTTTTGCTCCTGACACCCATCCTCAATGAACTGTCCTTTTCAGCCCCAAGTTCCTGCAGAGTTCATCTGACAGAGTCCTGGGAAGCTGCATCTCCCAGATTATATTGAACTTTATGATATATTTACATGGGACAACAGGGAACACACTTTTATAGGTGTTGGTTGGCTTCTAGATAAGCACAAATCAGGGATCATCACTCATCTGAGAGGTGCTTGTGAGTCCACTTTTTGTTTGCTGTTTGGGCAACAACACAGGTTATTGCTCACTGCAGCAACGGAGGATGCTTTGAAAGAAGAAATTGATGTTGTAACTGACTCAGGACTCCTGTTTGTACAGAAAATGAGCTGAAAGCTGAAATGCAGAGCCTTATTCTGGTGATGAAGAAGGGTTCTCATATCAGCTGTCATAAGACTCTTCAGCCAGAATGAATCACAAACCCACCATGATAGGCATGCTGGAAATGCTCACGTAGATAAACCTGACACTGTGCCCCTTGCTGTAGGCCAGGCACATATGAAGTGTTGTTTTACATAATAATCTTGAGAAGGCAAGCAAGCTTTTTAGATTCCTCTGTGCTTTGAAAACAGTGCCCTGTGTGCCCTCCTCTTGGGGCAGGTAGGTGTATTTGCACCCTGCCAGGTAATTACAGTGTGATGGGTATTAGCCTGTATCTTCCTGCCTCTGGTTTGTTGCCACAGGTTTATCCATATATCCTTTGGGACTGATGTTTCAGCTATAGGGCCACTGTATGGGTGAGAACTGGAATCGGGGTGAATCTTCACCAGCTTGTTCCTTTTAGTGTGGTCTGGCTCTTGGACTCCAGTCATTACCTTGGCCTGCAGGCAGATAATTGTTTAATTAAGAATTTGGAAGATGGGCTGCATGTGGCAAACTTTCCACCTTGGGACCAAGAAGGAAAGGGGGTGGTTTGGAGGGAGAAGAGAAATGCTGCTGTTTGATGGGCCCTGGGAGGGACCTCTGTCCTCAGTGGCTGCTGTGTCACTGGAACAGGAGCAGCTGTGTCAGGTGAGGTGTCCAGCACCACATTTCCTGAGCCAAATATGGGATCTGTGCAGCTCCCCTATGCATTGCCCTAAAATGTCATGAGTCTGCCATAGTCACAATTCAGGGCTGCTGGACCTTCCTTCTAGATTGGGAGGGCTTTTGCTTGTAGCCTTAAAGAAAGACACTGTGGTTTTCAAGCACATGCTGGATTGTGAACAAATGGTTAATGTTGCTGCAAGGAAGCTGGCTTAGGAATGTTTCCTCCTTTCAGCCTGCCCTTTTTCTATATTTCTTTCCTTTTTTTTTTTTTCTTTCACGGTACCATATAGTGTTTAATAATTCAATACATACATAATCCAAAATAAACACACTAATTAACCTTTGTTTTGAGAAATTTAATTAGTTAATGCTTAGTCTCTGTTCAGCTTCCAAACAGTTTGGAGTGGGAAAGGTGCCATGGGGAAAGCATGGCAAAATATGTTTAATGCTGAGCACCTTCAATTATTTAAACAGTAACGTGGGCTGGACCAATTAAAAAACAACGTTGTTATACAGGCATATACATGCTGAAATATCTCGATGTAGTGTTCTCAAACTCCAGCCTTGCTGCAGAATATGTGGTGAAATATATCTGTGCATAAACCAACTGTATGGAGGAGGGAAGCTGGTGGATGAGGAGTGATTCAGCTGCTTGCCAGCAGCCCCAGAACTTCCCTGCTGGGCTCAGGGTGCAGCAGGGGTAAGGGAGGTGCTAAAGCTGTTGTGGTGGTGGCTGCCCATCCTCGCTGGGGGAAGCTGGAGGACAAATCTTGCCCTGTGTCCCAAATAGATGATGAATTTTCTGAAAGGTCAACTGCTGTGCTCTGACTCACTAGTACAAATCATCCACGGCCCAAGTGCCTTCCTTCAAAATATGTTACTGTAGGGTAATAATTTTAGCCAAATCCTCAAGCTTTAATATTCTTCCCCAGATGAACTGTAAATAAAATTATTTCCTAAGAGCACTTATTTGAGCTTGATTATTAAATACATTGCCAAAATCTGGTCGTTTAATATACTGCCTGCTACTTGAGCTGAAGTATCTGAAAGACAAAGAACGAAGTAAACGAAAAGGAAATCAACATTTTGCTAAATTGCATGTTTTTAAAAATCCTATAATTGAGGCTGCTACTTCATTTCCATTTGTAAAACAGATTGAGTTCCCCTTCCATCTACTAATGGATCTGGTTTATCTCTGATACTAATTGCAGCATTTGCATGGTTTGCACAGGCTGCTGGTGACAGGACGTTGGGTAGGGAAAGTCAAACATCTCCTGCTGAGCTCTGGGCTGTCACTGAGGAGTGATACTTGGCACAGAGCTCTGCTGAACTTCAAGCCCTTGTTCTTTCTCCTATGGCTCCAAAGTCTGGGTCAATCAACCAAAATAAACTTGTTAATTCGTTTTCAGGATTCTGTGCCTCAGGTCTCACTTGAGAAGCAGTGGGAAGGCTCAGGTGATAATAAAGCAACACCAGACAGTCTGGATGTTTAATTAAACTTGTCCATGCTCTCTCTGACCTAGTGTCTGGGCTGGAAATGTCACCAGGACAAAGGCTGCTCATGAGGTTTCCATGTGGGCTTTCCTGCTGCACAAGGATGTGGGGAAACGTGGGGGGCTGCAACTTTTTTCTCACTCTTTCAGGTTATTGTTGGGAAGGGAATTATGCTCTGAAGATCTGGGGGAAAAGAAAACAAGTCTGGGCTTCTTCAGATGAATGAGCCTTTTCTCGGGCCCTGCTGTAGCAGATCTGTTGGCACACACCTGAATTAAGCACTTCTGGGTGCTGGGTCTGGTGGAAACATGCCTGGCTCTTGGTTAGCTCAGGGTACACACCTTTTACTGCTGGGGTGAGGAGGAACAGCAGCTTTTCAGAGGACTGCACCCAGGAATGTGAGCTGGAGACCTCTGTTCACCCCTAACTATTGATCTTTGCAGCCCTGACACTGTTCCTGGTACCCCTGTGCACACATCTATGATAAAAGCTTCTGTGAGGTGTTTCAGCCTCTAACATCAGTATCCACACCTACTGAAGCAAGCTGAGGATTCACCCTTTCCTGCCCATCCTTTCATTTTACATTTACAAACAGAAATGTTTGTCTTTTTATTTGTTTTAAGGCACTCTTGAAAGTGATCCATTGGATTCCAGCATGGCAGAGGGAGCCCTGGCCACACAGTGGCCTTTGTGGAGCAGGTCCGTGGGCTCAGTGCCACCAGCACCACAGGGGAGCCTGTAATAACCACAGCAGCACAGCCCAGATGTCCTGGAGAGGATTTGGTTTCAAGACACACGGCTGCAAGTTCAGGAGAACGTGGAGGGGGGAGGGGTTCTGCTCTAATGTACATAATTTGTTTAAAAAGTTTGCAGGTGTTAGAATTTTTATTGAGGGCTGGGAGCTGAGAAATCCTATCCAGTCAGTGAGGTAATGGTTTCTCTGCTTGGGGAGTGCACACAATCTGCATTAAATAAATGGCAGCTGTGTTGCCAGCAGAATTTTATATATTTGAAAACTAATCTGAGCCATACCAAGCCAGACCTCCACTCCTGCAAATCCTGGGAGAGAACAAGAAAATCCACTGATTGCTCACAGCTTTCCTCCCAAAGCTGGTGGGGATTGTCCCCCAGGCGTGGGAGCCCTGTCCCAGCTCCATCCCCCTGCAGCTGTGGGGGATGAGCTGAGGGGAGCAGGGATGCTGCTGTGCTGGAGACACCCCTGCAGCTCATCACAGGCTTTGGGCAGTGGGAACAGCTGCTTGCCCTGTCAGCTCCCAACTAAAATCCTGTGATGTGTGATCCCATGGGAGCCACGTAGAGCTGGGTCCTCACCTCAGCTCCAGCTGCAGCTCCTAAGCCAGAGAAGGAGAGCACACACCAACAGTGGTTCCCATGGAGCTATTCAAGGGTTGTAGTTTTCTGTTTCCTCTCTTTCTGAGCTCAATTCTGCTATATGTTGAAGCCCCAGCAGAGAATTTTTTTCTTCTTATTGTTTTTTTTTTTTATAGACAGGTTGTAATGTCAGGATATGAGGTTGAAAGGGCAGGTCTGAGTCAACTCTCAGATGAATTCTGAGCATTTCCTTTCTACGTGGATGAGTTCCAAGAATTTATCTCAGTTCAATAAACCCCACTTATTTCTGATGCTCATTCAAACAGACTTTGAATCCCTTGTGCCCACAGACCAGGGCTGGTCATTTGGGTTCTGCAAAGCTTTTTCCAGAGAGGTCAGGAGTGGAGTCAGTGTGGGGGATGTTTTGGGGTGACAGTTGAAGTAGATTTCTTTAATTTTATATATATTATTGATATTACAGATTTGAAATATATATATACATGTGTTTATATAATCTGCCTGTCAGGATACAGCCTGTAAGACTCAGGTGTCATCCTTTCAGGTACTGCTGCATCCAGTGCATGGGGCAGAAGGCCCTGGCAGACACAGGTCCTGCTCTAAGGGTGTGGGTACAGGCTTTGTCCTCAGCACAGCCCCTCCAGGAGTGTGGCACCTTCCCATCATCACACAGCAGTTACATAAACAGGGCTAAAATTAGAGCAAATGACACTTCACAGGCACAACATCATCCCTGGGGGCTCTCAGGGTTTCTAGCAACTGGGGCTAAGGAAGGCACAGCAATGGTGTGAGTTTTGGTGCTGGAACCCCCAGATCCTCCCAGGCTGCCCCCAACATCCTCCCCCTGCCTGAGCCTGGACTGAGCGACCCAGGGGTCTTTTTGCCTGAAGTAAATTTTCTCTTATTTCCCTCCAGGCTGCCTTTTCCCCTGTTGCTGAATTTCGCTCAGCAGAATGATTTCAAGGGCACCATTTTCAATTTCCTCTGCGGAGCCAAAATTAATACTGAGTTTATGCCACAGCGTAGCAGCACTTTAAGCATCCACCAACAGTGTGCATATTTCACAATAATGTAATGGCTCTTACACCCAAATACTGCTTAAACCACCACGGTATCCACTGTAAATATCAGCAATTCCTGCCTGAACCACGGCACCAGCAATGATGACTCTGTAGGTGCTGCTGATGTGCCCATTAACATCCCCCAAGATAACCATTTTTTTAGCACCAGGGGCACATTTGGATGCTGCTGCAGGGCAGGAAGAGGTGCTGACCTTCACCTGGGAGAATGGAAAGATTCACAGCTCGCATTTTTCTATTTTCTTTTCAGCACTGCCTCCATAGGGCAGCCCCTCTCCTCTTGCTTCCATCACTTCCTCTCATTGTGGCTCTAGGCAAGGCTTAGATCCAGACAAGAAAGTTTGGGTCTATGTTCCTCAGTCCCCAAGTTGTTGAGATGAAGGTTTTTAGTTGAGTTACTCCTTTGGGTTGTGCCCTTCTGTTTATGCCTCACTGCTTACAAGGGAGGTGGCCATGGGTTTTTTTAAAGTACTACATATATAGGTGGGAAGAACAGAGGGAAATTTGTCAAACAAACAGGTTCTAAGTGATTGCCAATCTATGGATTGACTGACCATGCTTGCTGCCTTGGGATGGTGATTTTGACTCTGTTTAGAGAGGAGCAGAGGGATTACAAGAACCCGTGTGTGCAAAAGTACACAAGCCATTAATTATGGCGACTGCTGCTTGATAGAATCTAGCAAGAGCTAATGGGGCTTGAGAAACCTGTGGAAAATGTTAGCGAGGGTTGTCAGGATGTTTGTGTTAGAGCTGCTCTGGATGATCTCATCTCTCCAACGTTGCAGAGGGCGAGGGGTGTGCCGGGTCAGCTGGAGCCGGCGGGCAGGCGCCCCCGCTTGGGAAAGAGGGCGATGGAGTGGGGGCTCAGGGTCTGCCCAGGCACAGAGAGGGGCACTCAGAGGGCTCCACGGCTGGAGATGAGAAATAGGGATGGAAAGAGCAGGGCTTGAGGGCCTTTGGAAAGTGTTGCATTGTGTCTTTTCTTCCTGCTCCTCTGAAACAGCCTAAATGAAATGTCACTTGGCATTGCATAACAGGGCGATGCAGGGCCTGGGGAGCAGCTCAGAGGGGCAGCACTGGAGCCCCAGGCGAGGCAGGAGGGATGTGGCTGGTATGGGGAGCTGATGTGCTTGCTGCTGCATGCAGGGCAAGAACCAAGGGCAAGAACCCCACTTCCCAGGGGAGTTCCTGCTGCTCCCAACGCTTCTCCACGCTGTGGCTCGCACAGACTATGCCTGGAGGACCGAGCGATGACAAACAGGTCAGAAATGGTGGCTTGGTAATGTCAGAGCCAGGAGTCAGCTCTGTGTTCTGATTTATAAGAGATGTCTCTCTGTGTCCCAGGGCTGCCTTGGCTTTTCATTCATGCTGGCGATGACGAAGGGCCGTGCTTAAGCAGCATGACCGAGCTGGCACGGGCGGCTTTGAGGAGCAGGAAACCGCTCCCTTTATCCTCGCTTGATCTTTTGAGTGAAATACGTGCAGTACCCTTGTCAGCAGTGAGAGCCTCCTAAGGAAAGAAAGAAAGGTTAGCAAGCAGAAACAGATGTTTACCTTTAACTTCTGGCTTTGTGTGGACGGGGGAGACTGGGGGAGGGGGGTTTGCAGGGCAGGGAAAACGCTCTCTGGAAGCCTGAGAAAGTCCTGTCGGATCGAATTTGCCTTTCCTTTCATTTTGCTGTGGTTTTTATTTGGCTCAATGTCCTTTCATCATTATTATTATTATTTAAACACACCATTCTCTTAAGGGAAAGATAATTGCTTTTTCTTTCTTCTGCCTGAGCTTCTCAACATGATTAAGATATAGAAACCAAATGCCTGGACACGAGGATGATCTAATAGGCACCAACCAGGCCGAGTCACTGTGGCCCAGTTTAAAAACATGGCACTTTTCCAGAATCTATTTGTTTCTCTTAATATGGTGATTTGTTTTTCTATATTGCTCTCTATAATTATCACTGTGCTGTGTATTCACTGGCTCTAGGCTCAGTGTAATATAAATCTGGAATTAGTCTATTGAAGTCAGTGTCAGATACATT